ATAGGAGAACCTGTACTGTAACATCGCGTAACTCAGTTGTGGTCCAAATTTTCTCATCAAGGAGATTATGGGGCCACACAGGAAAGTGATCAATGATGTAGAGTGTACCTAAGGAGAGTGACATGGAGAGAAAACATTGTCTCAGGCCTTCACAGAGAGCAAATTGGTCAAGCAATGGCCATGACTCATCCACATGACTGACACTGACAAAGGATCTACAAACTGTGGTACAGAGTTTCAGGGTAAAACCTAAGGGGATTTGACTGATGTTGGCAGATACAAAAGTTACATTTCTTGTTATATAGGTCTTGCTTTATCTTTATCTTAACCATCCAGCAAAAAAGTATAAAAATGAGGTAAAGAAAGTAAAGCCATATTAATATGCTGAGCTGTAAAAAGCTCAAGTCAACAACTTCTGACATTGCCAGTCCTACGGATAACCTATTAGTATTATGGAGTACTGGACTATATTGGATGATTTTGCTGAATTCACGCACCTCCAATATTTAAATGGCAATGGAATACTCATCTGTGACAAAACTAAACAAAAAAAGGGGATACAAATGAAGGACCATTTTGTATCTTTATATACAAAATAGGATAGATATATAGCTCCTTTCTCTTAATTCAATGAGAAGAAAGATTTGTACTAATCATGTTTGGACAGGGTATCATGTCTGCATCCTGTACTTTGAATAACCACTACAAATACAACAATATGCAATGTATTAATTATTGAAACTGTCCTATTAATCGGTTATGAAACTGTTCTATTAATCGGTTGTGAAACTGTCTCATTGCTATTTGTTTCTCCATAAAATAAAAAAAAAAACCCAAAAAACAAATGTTCTCTTTCAGAAACAACACTAGTCACACCAAAGTAGGGACTTAGTCCCTCAGTCTTAACTCAGTCCATCTGCACAGACCTTATCTCCAAATAAGGCCATACTCTAGGGTACTGAAGGCCAAAACTTCAACAGACAGATTTTGAAAGGAACAGCATTCAACCTGTAACAGTGATCACATCAGAGAAATCATTGGCTGAATAGGTCTAGTCTAGACCTTAAAGGTATGATACAGTGGAAGTTGGTAGTGGGTTTTAAACTGAGAAAATATGGGCTCTTATTTGGTTTACCAACAGCAGAGTATTTACTCAAAGAGATATTTATTTATTAAATGCATTTGGTTGTCACAGGGCCTCACTACGCAGCTCAGACTTGCAGTGATTCTTCTGCTTTCACCCTCCACAGCACTGGGATTACAGGTGTGCAGCACTATGCCCCGACGCTGGCCTGCTTAACCCACCCTGGGGACGGGGTGGTGTGGCATGCGGTGCTCAGGATCGAACTGCAGTCCCTGTGCTTGCCTAAGCAGGTGCTTTAGTCTACTGAGCTATCTTACCAGCTGAGTACTTTTTTTTTGGCGGAACCGGGGATTGAACTCAGGCCCTTGCACTTGCCAGGGAAGCGCTTATTCCACTGAGTCATCTCCCCGGCCCCTGAGAGTACTTATTCTAAAGATATGATGATAACCTAGTAACAATAGGAACCTCAGAAGCACAACTAAATTTATGTATATGAAGTATTGCTCTTGGTGATCCACGTCCTTACAGAGGCATGCTCTACAAACCATAGAACTAATGCATGAGACATGCAGAGTTTGGTGACTTAGTAAAGTTATATAACTGTGCAACCATCACCATAATCCAGTTGTAGAGAACCCCATTCCCCAAGAAGTCTCTTTTATTGGGGGGTAAGCAGGAATTGAACTCAGGACCACACATTTTCCAGGCAGGCACTGCACCACTAACCTAAATCCCTGGCCCGAGAAGTTTCTTTATGCCACCTGAAGTCACCCCCCTCAGCTCCAGGAAGTCACTGACTTCCTTCTGGTAGTTGGAGCTTTGCCTTTTCTAGAAAGTTTAGATACACTGAATCAAACAGTACGTGGTCTTGTGTAGTTGACTTCATTCACGTGGTATCATGGCTTCAGTAGATGATAGATGTTCAACTGTCTTGAGCATCTGCTTACAACTAATAATGTTGGTGTGAGCTTTTGCAGAAATATTTTTGAAAGGACATAGCATTTTCATTACAAAGTAATTTTAAAGTATGGTTGTACCATCTCTGATTCCCACCAGCAGTACAGGAAGGCTCTATCTTTTTACATGCTTACCAGCAATTTGCATAAATTCCATCATTCTGAATTGATTTTTTTATATCTTTTCTATTAGTAGATATTGGTTACACAGATTTGGGTTTCATTTTGGCAGCTTCATACATGAACACCACATCCTTTGATTATTTTCACATCCTGTCACTCCCTTGTTCTGGCCTCCCCTCTAGTTGTACATTTTGGGGGAATTTCAACATACATATTTTGATCATATCCATCCTCCCTATATCATCCCTCACATCTTCTTCTCCTTAATGCCTTCTTTTGTCTAATGAAAGTCACTTCTCTACTTTGTCTTTTAAGATTCTACCTTCATTAGGAAGTACATGCAATAGCTGTCTTTGTAAGTCTGGCTTATTTTGTTCAAAACAATTTAGAGATCCATTCACTTCCTTGCAGATGACAAAATTCCATTCTTCACTGTATGTATATACCACGTTCTCTTTAT